AGAATTTTTTTAACATACAACATTCTCAACATTCCCAAATAAATTAAACCATACCATACTGGAGAGAAGATCATTTAAGGGAAAATTTTATTCACAATTTAAGTCTGAGAAACCACATGCCTCACCCTCACACTAGGGTGAAAAGTGAAAATGGCCTAAAACTGCCTGGATTTTCCAGTGTAACAGAACCCAACTGTTACTCTCCTGCTGGGATGTCACATTTTACAATATGCTGCGACAGACCGACTGAGAATAGGAACAGGCAGAAATGCAGCCCGGTATATACAACCTTACAAGCAGAAATTATGTATTAATACATCAGCTGTGCCGCAATCATCAAATTACTGTTGAATGATGTCTTGTCTACCAAAAAACAAGTTTGGGGAGGCTAAGGCCATGATCTGTCCATTGGGTGCAGAGTGAGCAGCCCAGTGTTGAAGCAGAATGCTCTGATCTCATGTGTCCGGCTGAGGGTCGGTGAGCCTGCACTCAGGCTACAAGGTCAAACAACACTCCAGGAGAAGGAAGCGCCCAGACCAAGAGCCTGACTCCCATTTCAAACTCGAAGAAATCAAGGCACAGAAAGGTAAGTTATCTGGCTAGAACTGGAACCCAATTATCAATTTTTCAGTTATCTTTCAGGATATAATGATGCCCCTGGTCAGGCAAAGCCCCTTCCAGCTAGGACGCTGGTTCTCAACCTCAGCTAACAATTAGAATCACCTGGGGAGCTTTCCAGGCGATTCCCAGCTCCTGAGACTGGAATCCAGTTGGAGTGGCCAGGGCATGGGAAGTTTTCAAAGATCCCTTTGAAAGATTCTAATGTATGACTAAGCTTGGAAGCACCGTTCAGGGGACTCCACTGATACAAAGAATTGAAGAATGTCACTTAAACTCCTCTGATGCTGATCAGAACACTTTGTTATTAAAAGAAAGTCATGAAAGCATCCATCACAAATCTTAAGTGAGCATTTTTTTTTAAAAGAAAAGTGAGTTTATTCACTAGAAGAGAGTAAATTTTTCTAGGATTTTGACTTAGCCTTCGAGCAAAGCTCCATCAATCAAATATACACTCATGTTTCAGACAACTGAAAAAAGGGTTTTAGTTTCCATTACTATATACAACTATATTTACTGCTTGGAAACTAACAGAATACGATTTCGGAACTCCTAAATTCTTGGTTAGCTTGGTGATCACTGAATAAACTCTTATTCTAGGGAACCAACTAACCATTGCCAGCAGTCCAAAGTACATGTAATTACTGGTTCAAAGTACTACTTTGCTGTTCTAAGTAGAAAAGAAAAAAGGCTCACAAAAAGAGTACCAAAATGGAATATGTTAAGCAAATATTTGTGCAAACAGAAAATAATTTTATTTTAATAAAAGTTTTCATTCACTTGTAACAGTGTGAATCTCTCTAATATTATTTCAAATAAATGATGATGCACTTTATTTTTTTAGATAAACATTTAATTATGATATTCGTTATAAATTCTTTACAACATTGATGCTGATCCAGCTAACAAAAACAAATCTTACATATCAGACCAAGCTGTTCTAGTTACAAAACAGCTTCCAGTGTCAATTCTCAAAAGAATTAGTGGTTCAAGTAAATTTCTTTCTTTCCTTTAAGACTAAGGTTACAGAATCCTGTGAACATATGTAAAGAAGTTTGACCCGGTCTTTTCTCCTCCCACCATCACTCCCAGGGGTCCCTCCAACAGACTGGATAAGGAGAGGGGATGGCCAGACCACAAGGACTTTTGTCAGAACTACAGTTAATGATCTGTCTACTCAAGGTAGATACCATCAACCTACATACAGTAGACTCGCATTTTCATTATATCACCCAAAGGTGACACACCAGACTTAATAATAAGGCTGTTAGGTTGAAACCTCAGAAGGCACATCCTCCCACCCGGGGGGATGGCTTTAGCCAAATGAGGAATGATCTACTTGCTGGAAGTCTTACCAATGACCTGCCATGGTTTTAGCTCTTATGTTGCCTACTGCACGGAGCTATTTGCCTTCGGGGACTGGCACTCCCTTAGCCCAGCTGGTTTTGGGGTCTTCACCTATTGCTGTACATCTTATAGGACCCTAGGAATGGGCAGCCTGTGCATAATCCCTGCCACACCCTCATTCTGAAGCTCCTGATCCTCCACATGGAGAGGAGGTGAGCCTGTCCCTTTCTCCATCTCCAACACCACCGTCCTAGTCCCATCGTCTCCCCGCCTCCCCTGGACAGTAGCAATGGCCTCCCAGCTCATCCCTTGGCTTCCTCTCTAGCCCACCCACCTTCCTTCCGCATGCCATTCTCCAGCCTCCAGGCCCTCCATGGTACCATTCCCACATTCCCTGGCTGCTCATCCCACCTAACACCACCCCCCTCACTCAACACTCTGCCAGGCCAACTCTTTGGTGCCCTTTAAATAAACTGATTCCACCCCGCATTGGAACTCTTAAATCTGCTTTCTCTCTGGATGCCAGCCACACAAACCTCTCCCCAAGGAGCTTCCTCCTGTCGGCCCAGCCCAGGCTGTGCAGAAGCCTTCCCAAGCCACTCCACCTAAAGTGGTTCCACGCTGACTCCTCTCATCCACACAGTCCCCAGATCCCTCTCTGGGCCCTGGGAGGCTGACTCTACTATGGACTCCACTGTTTGGACACTCCTGCCTCCTCTTGGCTGCCCGCTGAGCTCTGCCAATGAGACCAGAGACCTCGGTATTTCTCCCCCACCTTCTCTAGGGCCTAGGATCTCAATTCCACACCTACAGGTCTACAGCTCCCCCAGGCTGCTCCTCCATAGGGTTCCCTACACATGACTTTCTCTCCCAGCTCCAGCTTCTGGCTGTTGCCCATGGCTGCAGGCCTGAGCATCCCTTGTTGATTCCCTCGGGCCTGCCCCAAGTCACGAGCTCTTCAACAAAATCTCTGGAACCCCACAGTGTGTGTCCTGCTTGGGACCTGACCACTCCCACCTAGCCCCCTCCCCATCACTCTCTATCACATTATCCTGTTTTATTTTCTCCATTGCATTTATCAAGATCTGAAATGACCTTGCTCACTTGCTTTTTCCTATTTTCTGTCTCCTCCTCAACCATTAGAACCTACGTTCCTTAGAAGCAGGGAGCTTGTTATGTTTACCACTCTATCCTCAGGGCCTAAAACAGTGCCTGGAACATAGTAAGTAAGCATTCAATCAAAAAGAAGAAAGAAAAAGAAAGAAAGAAAGAAAGGAAAGAAAGAAAGGAAAGAAAGAAAGAAAAGAAAGAGAGAGAGAGAGAAAGAAAGAAATGAATGAATGACGCAGGGCCAGCCCATTGTCTCTGCTCAAAATATCACCTTATCAGTGAGACCTTCCTGGGCCATTGATGTAAAACAGCAATCTCCCTCCCCTTCCAGATCTGCACAGTCCCTCGTGCAGCCCTCCAAGTCTTACTTCTTCCTACAGCCCATCACCTTCCAATATATTTGATATTTGTTTATTGTTTGTTTTTCCGCCAAAACAAAAATGTCAGCCCCGAAGGCAGGAATGCTATTTTATTCACTGATGTAGCTTCAGAGTCTGGAACAAGGCCTGGCACATAGCAGAGTCTCAATAAACATTTGTTAAAATGAATCACTAGCAAAGTGGGCAAATTTTCATACAACACAATTTCGGGATTGTCCCCAACACTGGAAAGAATGCAAAACTATGAACTGCTAGATACCCAAGCAAATAAGTGTAGTTTTACATGACTTGACCTTGCTCCAGCAGAAAGATAGACTAGGACTCTTGGAAAACAGTCTGAAATGCTAGCTAGCACTTATCCTACATGGAGAAGAAACGGTTTTAGAGTAAGAGCAGTAAGACCTAAGTTCCTGACAATTGTTGCTCTAGAAAGCATGCCCGGAAGCTTACCTAAAGATGCAGTCATTGTAAGTCCTTTCTGAAAGTAAATGGGTATATAAATTATAAATAAATGAGACTTAAGCACATCATTCTATGTTCCACAATGGTGTTCTATTGGCAGCAGCCTTCAACGGCAGTTCTTTGACAGTATAAGTAGACCCAGAGCCAAGCACTGAAAGCATTGCTTTTTTTGACAGCTGCTCTCCTAATGGGGCATCTCTCAAAAACAGGTTTCATTCTGCAACGCCTACATTGTCCAAATTTTATTCTGCACAATAATTACAGATCTGAAATAAATTCCTCCTCCCCACGACGATCATTGATTACTCATACCTGCCCCCTCACCCTCCAAAGTGTCTAAATTGTGCGGATTTGGGACGAAAAAAATATACATACTGAGTGTCCCCGATGGTAGCATGTCACACCTTCAAGGGAGCAAGATTCCGACTAAATATCCCAAAGGCCTACTAAATATCCCAAAGGGAAGGTCCCCTTCCCCCAACACCATTCCACCAAAGCTGGCCAACCGCAGGGTAATGAGCAACCACAGATCCTCACCCAAACATTGGCTTTTCTTCCAGTAGTGCAGATTGAGAATGCAGAAACGTCGCCCTATTTATGAACGGTGAGTCACGTCGCCACTCAACGTCTGTTTCCTCCTCCCTATGAATGAGGTGACCCCCTTCTCTAGCGAGTAAATGCAGGGCGATGGCGAAAGCCCAGGGCGATGGTCCGAGCTCCCTAGCCGCTTCGGGTGCTAATTCATCCCCGGAGAGTCTACTGCTTCGTCGCCCCCCGCCCGAGTGACACCGAGGGCAGGGGCGTCGCTGGGAGCCAGTTACGAGCCCTGGACCAAAGCGAACCTCTGGAAACCCATCGTGAGAGGCGCGCGTCCCGGAGGTGCTCGGGGACACGGGACCCTCGGGGACATACAACCGCTCGGCTGCGCAGCCCGGAGGGCCGGGGCGTCGCGGCGTCCCCAGTCGTCGCCCGCCTCCCCGCCCGCCCGCCCGCGGCCCGGACCCGGGCGCTGCGACCCGCGCGCCTCCTCCGGGCAACAAGTGTCCGCCCTCCGCCCCGACGGCCGCCCGGCCCGGCCCTCACCCGGCACAGGCCGTCCACGAACACGCGCGGGTCCAGGTGGCAGGCGATGGTGGCGCTGGGCAGGTCCTGCAGGTCCACCTCCTCCATCTCGCAGTCGATGAAGCTCCAGTCGCCGCCGCCCTCGTCCGCCTCTGCCGCCCCCGAGAGGGGCGTGAAGGGCCGCAGCGTCACCCCGGGCCGCGCTAGCGCCTCGGCCGCCTCCTCCGCCGCCCCGAGCCGGGGCCCGGCCAAGCCGTCCTCCATCCCCGCGCTCGCGCCCGCGCGTCCCCGTGCGCCCCCGCCGGCTGCGCCGGGATCGCGCGCTCGAGCCTCCCGCTTCCCAGCCCGCGCCGCGGCCGCCGGCTCCACGGTTAACCTCCTCGCGATCGCGCGGCTGTCGGCTGTCGGCTGCCGGCGCTCCCCACCGCTCCCCACGACCCGGCCTCCGAGCGCCGGCTCCGCCCGCCTCCGCTCCGCGAGGGAGGGGCAGAAACCCCGCTTGGCACCCGGCCCGCCCAGCCCAGAGGGCCGACCACCCGCGGGTCTAGCGGTAGTCCCTTTAAGGCCGACCCTCGTTGGGTTGTTGCACCCCGCCCTTCCAGGAGTAAAGGCCAATAAAGAAACAGAATTCTTCTCACGTGATCCTCCTTCTGCCGCCCAAAGTCCGAAGCCTCTGGGTGGCCATGTTGGTTAGGGGCAAAGTCCTCGTAAGCCAGTTCCGCTTTTCTGACAGCTGGTGCCAGCTGAAGAGCGCCAGGCAGGGTCGTGGGCCCTTGGGCCCTTGGGATGATAACTGGAGAGGCAGCGCTTTTGTGGTTCCCATGAGGTGACGTTTTGAGGTACATGCGCCAACTCTGGGGGATTTAAGCGAGATCTGGTCCTGGCTATGGCTCTGTGGCCGTTGGCAAATGTTAGATGCCTACCGTATATTATGAGATATAGTCGCAAATAAGGATTGAACTAGTCCATGATAACAACACCTTACTTTTATATTTTATCTTAGTCCTTATGCCGTTGTCCGAAATTCATATAAAGAAGTAATTTTTTGAATTACCACTACATATTATGTACAGTAGGAGATAACAAAAGAAGTAAGACATTGGTCCTTTCCTTTGGGGAATTTATACAGGGAAAACAGAGGACTTCAAATGAGCAGGTATCTCTCTTTCTGCAAAATAGAATTACTTCTTTGTGAAGGACAGTATCATACAGTGAAAACTTAGGTCTGAATTTCATCTTTGCTATTAATTACTTGGACAAATAACCTGAATCTCGGTTTCTCATCTAAAAAACGAGGTCATATCCTGTAAGAATTAAGTAAGTAGTTAATAAATGATAGCTCTGTCTATGTGATAGGTTCTTTGGAGGTTGTGAAATTTGACTTGTATTTTCTCCTAAAGTAGATTTACCCTCTAGTTTGGAAGTGCAACTAATGATAATAAAAATTATATCCAACTAATAGCTGAGATTTATTCAAAACTTTCCATGTGCAAGTTCTATGGTTGTTATTATGACAATCTGAGGGCACGTTGTGCCTTTAACGAGTTTAAATCCAGGAGAAGTAGTAATACCTCTGCAGAGACAACTCACAAAATAGAATGTGATGTGAGAATGAAGAGAAATTGGAACCATAGTACATTGCTGGTGGGAATGTAAAATGGTGCAGCCACCTTGGAAAACAATTTGGCAGTTGCTCAAAATTTCAATGTAAAGTTACCATATGATCCTCTAATTCCTCTTCAAGAGAAATGAAAACATATGTCCACACAAACATCTGTACACATAGCATCAGTATTCATAAGAGCGAAAAAGTGAAAACAGCCCAAGTGTTCATCAAGTGATGAATGGATAAAGCACACATATATCCATCCAGTGGAATATCATTTAGCCTTAAAAAGGAGGAAGTGCTGATATGTGCCACAACATGGATGAACTTTGAAAACTTGCTAAGTGAAAGAAGGCAGTCAGTCACAAAAGGCCACATATTATTCCATGTACCTGAAATGTCCAGAATAGGCAAATCTATAGAGACAGAAAGCAGACGAGTGGTTGCTAGTATCTGTGAAAGGAAGGAATGGGGAGTGACTGCTAAAGGGGATGGGGTTCCTTTTTGGGGTGAAGAAAGTGTTCAAAAATTAATTGTGATGATGTTTGCAAAACTTTTTGAATATACTAGAAATCACTGGATTGTACTTTAAAGGATGAATTTTATGGTTTGTGAATTATATCTCAATAAGGCTGGTATTTTTTTAAAAGGTCAAGAGACGGACGAAATGCAGCAGAGTGGATGACACTGCAGAGTCGCAGGCTCTCTGTAAACTCAGCCAGGCATTCTGAAAAGGGTAACAAAGGCATGAGGCACCAGTTTTGGAAAAACAACGCCCAGCCAACCCGTTGCCGGGTGGGTCTGTGTTGTTCTGGGTTCTTTCTTTCATTGCCGGCTTACTGTAAGCCGCTTACGGCACGCAAAGTGGGCCTGATGGACACATCGTTCGAGGGAAAAGAAAGCACTAACAAAACAGAAACCCGAAGTGCAGGCAGAGCAAACCCTCAAAGCTGGTTTTCTCCACTGTGTTAAGAGAGGAGCCAGCAAGTACAACCTGCTGGCAAGTGGCGAAGACAAAAAGTTACCTGTGATTGACTTTGGAATGGAGCTGGTCGTTACTCAGATACAAACCAAGTCAAACATTCCCTCCAAGTCTGCAGATTCCACTTCTCTTCTCTCCCTCTCTTCCCTGTTCCCCAGGCAGCAAAGTGGGTGATGTTTCTCAGTTCACCGACCAGACCTATTACTTATCTGTTTGACCCTAATAGTAATACCGGTCTCTTCTGTGTAGCTCTTAAACAGTTAATAGGTATACACATAAATTAGCTCACACCATCCTCACCAACAGGTGTTATTACTGCAGATTCTTAGAACTGAGGCTCCTAGAGATTGCATGACAAGCAAACAGGCAGCAAGTAGCAAAGCAGGACCCAACTGGGATCTCGTTCCAGCTCTGCCTCTGCCCCATGGGGCTGCAGGAAACAGGAACATGGGAAGGAACCAAAGAAATGTGGTGGCAAAAAGTACAGAGGAGAGAAAATAAGGCAGAGGAAAAGGAGAGGAGGGGACAAGAAGGGGAAAGACAGAGGTAAGGAGATTGAGAGCAGAAGATGAGAGATGCTTGAGGTTCAAAGCGAAGAGCAGAGATGCTGGTCCTAAGGGGAGCTGGGTGTCCGCAGCACAGCCATGCAGGGCACACTCTGAGACACCAGGGCCGGCACTGGGCATGGTGCTTGGGAGATAGAGAGCTCTTGAAATATCAGAGCAAAATGACAGAAAGCTCTCCATAAATGGGATTATCATCATGCCGCCCACAACAGGGTGCCCAGGACTCTTGCCTTATTGCAGGTGACATGTTTAGTAATACAACGGCACATTCCTCTTTCCACTTAGAAAATAAAATTGTGTAGTAACTGCCCCTTCGCCGTGCCTTCTAAGTTTAAGAAAGGCGGATGGCTGCGCCTTATGCTGTCACTGACACTGGCAGCATCATCAATGGCCTCTCCCCAGGAGGAAAATACAAGAGAATCTGTGAGCTGTCAACAGCACAGGCAGAAACTAAGCAAAACATACTTCTTGAATAGATTGCGGACGTTTCTAAGGGTTAAATCAACTGAACTTGGGAGCAATCTTTTAAAAGGCTGGGCCACCGTAAAACACGTACAAATTGCTCAAGCATTCGTTGGGGGTTGTTAATGGTGTCTCTCTTACCAGCTGTGGCAGCAGAACCTAAGCTCTATTCCTGTTTCCTGCTTTGACATCTAACTAGAGAGCCTTCCTTTCTCATTGGCTTAAAGGAGCTGATTTGATCCAGATCCTCAGATACCCAAAAGGGAGAGGAACCAAAATAGGTAAAGAACAGCAGTTCTTTAAAAAAAAAAAAAACAATGAGGGAGGGCACACATTTTAGTTTATATATCCTACCACCTCCCATTCATTTCCTCTCCTTACACGTTCTTCATGTCAGCCATTGCAATTTCCAAATATAAAAGGAGGAGAGGTGCTCAGAAAGCCATGTTTGGTTATTTTTGTTCTGAGCACCTGTCTCTTACATTGTTTGCAGCCCAGTTATGCAAATGCGTCTGTGGGTAAACCACTAGCCTATTCATTTGCCAGGTGGGAAAGTTCGACTCTAGGATACTTTCAATTACTTCCTATTTTGTTCGGAAATGGAAGGGGGCTGCATGCAGCAGGCACTTGCTGAAAGCTTATTAACCGAACCAAAGGCATTTCTGCACATTCTGAGAAATTATAGACATTTAAAAATTTTATTTAAGGTAGAAGGCAAATTGCTGACTTTCTACGTGTTTGCTTTTACAAAGAATGAACAGTTCCAAAGACTGCTGAAATGAATAAACCCCTTAAATAATTCAATCAAAAGTTTCTGTTTTGTTACCACCTATAAAATGAATAAAAATATCATGTATGTTGTTGTTCTTGTTTTGTTTGTTTGTTTTAGAGAAAGGAATCTTTTTTCCCTACTCAAGGTTCATTTTTAAAACAAACTCTTAAAAATTCCTATTTTTGATGGTCGTCTGATGCTATTTAATTCAGAAATCCAGTTATAAATTTGGTTTTGGGGAAAATATTGGAATCTGGTTACTTTGTCTTTCCAAGTTTGGAAAAGAAGTTCACTGAGTTTGACATTTCCCTAAGTTCTCTTTTAAATGTGTTGATATTCGTGTGACTTTTATGTGAGTTAGGATTCTTCTCATTGCAAGTAACCAAAACCTCTGAAGCCAGTTTAATAGGAAAAAATTTAAATTAAGGATGTAGGACATCTCATGGAACCCAAAGGCAGGAGTAAAGCCTGGCCTTGGGGCGGGACTCGGAGCTGGACCGTGATGTTGTCCAGAAGCCACGCTGTCTTTTTGGGTCATCTCAAGGCCATCGGAAGTAGGGGCTGGGCACATAAGCCTATGGGTGTCCACTCCCGAAAGTTAGGTACCCATGCATTTTCAGTGAACTTCTATTGTTCAAAATGTCATTATTCCAACAGGAGAGATTTCCTTTAAGGGGTTGTGGTAGGATGGACTTAACTATTTCTCCTTGTGTCCTTCCTCAGGGATTGTTTTTTACTGCTGTGATGGGTTCCCTCTTTGATTCCACACTATAGCCAAGGAGCCATATCTTAGCTGCTAATAACATCTAACAGCACCTGGTGTGTTGAGTAATGTTGGCTTAGTGCTTGTCTATTCACTCGGAGGAGGGCTGAAGTGATGGCACTAAGCCAGCCTCGTCCAGGCTTGACCTCGTCCTGACTTTGATTTGGGGACTCCTGCTCTCATTGGGATGCTGTGTGCAGGGCAGTGCCCAGATGCTGGAGCTATAACAGTACACAAAACAGACA